CTCTCTCTCTCTATATATATGTAGAAATTTATGTGGACTGGTGAATATTACGCTGGGGGGTCTTTAGTATTAGGGTGAGGGAATCAGCGATATTTAGCGATTGTATCATAGGCTTTGATGAAGTATGTGAATATTCAGTACATGACATGCACCATCTCCTTAACGTTAATCACACTCCTAATCATTTACCCCAATATTGGGGGTTGCCTACAAGAGTGGTTTTCCTCCGAGACATATGCAGTCTTACGGGCTTGGGTAGTTTGTGAGCTTCATATTCCGCAGCAGCGGCTTCTGTAGGGGAGCGGGGCTTAGAGGGACCTGTACAAGGGCCCATTGTTGGATTGCAGGGGATATGATAGTGGCGTATAGCGGCCTGAGTTTCAAGGGCGCTGGCTTACTTAACATAGTGTTGCTTGACCAGCACGACTCTTCCTATACAAGGCACTTGGATCTTTCGGTAGTACTCATCTCCGGGGCGGGCATGTCATATGTTCATGCATATCTATAAGTATGTGTGTGTGGCAAGAAGGGAAGTGCACACACCTGTATGCGTATGTGCATAGACGCACAAATGCCGCAGACATGTGCGTATGCACGTGGTGCTTTCATGTGTATGTATATATATATACACATACACATTTGCCCCTCTGTATATCACACAGGAGGACTGTTAGCTACACCTGCCTCTCGGGGTCAGACTTGCTTTGGCTTTGGTGCTGCAAGCAACATTCAATAGATCATTTTGTGAAAGCATGTTCACATGTTCATGTGGGGGATTGTCAAAATTATGGTCCCTTTTGGGTCCCTAGTATAATACGGGGCCTGATTTAGGGACCCAAAAAGGGACCATAATTTTGACAAACCCCCATGCACTTGCGCTTCAGTGTTACAGGTTTAATGCCTCTCAGGCACAGAGAACTGGTCGGAGGAGAAGTTGCAGGAAATCATCACAAGGGACTCCATGATCGGCGCCCTGGATACAGAGCCTAGTGCAGACGGACTTTCAGGGTCCGAGCTTTGCTTAATGCAAGGGCCTAAACAGTTACCAGCATTCTTTCGAGTTTTATTTCTTATACCCGACCCTGTATCTAGAATTACAATAATTATGGATGACTATCCGCCTATCAAAACCCTACATAAACCCAGCTCCATCTCATTGGCCATTTTCGTTTCCATGTGTTTCTCCGTTATTGGCGTAATATCCTTCTCGCCCTCCTATAATCCTGTACATCATCTGGTATCTGCACATCAGGCCAGTGCCACATTTGAGAGCTTTCGTGAACTTGGGCTGAGATTATGTTTTCAGAGTTCGCATGGGGATTGGCCGCTGCCTAGTGAGGAAGACCTTTAAAAAAAACCGCCACATTGCGGATAACTCCCGCAACCTTACCCCCCAATGGTGGCTTACCTAGAGAAGTGGTCTTCGATCGGCCTTGCTTCAGGCTTTGCATTTCTTGCAGCATTCGAGGCTCAAGAGGCCAAAGGCTTCTTGCTCCTGTAAACTCGGCTCCTTAAGCCCTAGCCTGTGTGTCGGCAGCACGGTTTATGTAGGCTTTCCTAAGACAAGGTTTGCCATTGGCATGTTGCAATGTTTTTTCCTTTGTGTAAGTAGTATCTTCCCAAGGGACCAGGACCAACCAAGAAATGAAATTGGGACTACGGCCCACACCCTAAATCAAGCAGGGGCTGAAATCGACCGGCACCTGCTGGCTTCAAAACTTAGAGGAACATGTGGGGTTCCTAGGAGGTAGAGCTTTTCTTGTGGGAGTCCCTGTAGCAAGGATGGAAGTGTTTTCAGGTGTAACATTTCACTTTGCATTACTTCTGAAAATTCCCCTACGCTTCTCATGTAACGGGGGAATCCTTCCCGAAATCCTTCACCCTAAAACCCTAAACCTCTAACACCTTAATCCCTAAACCCTAAAACCCTAAACCCCTAAACCCCTAAACCTTAAAACCCTAAACCCCAGTGGAGGGTGGGGATGTCTGCTGGAGGTGTTACTCGATTACCAGAAGCAGTCTGAAGCTGAAGCTACGCCATGGCCCGCCTGTGTCTAGGATTCAAGGGCTCTGGGTTTAGGGTTTACAGGTTTAGGGGATAAGGCTTTAGGGGTTTAGGGTTTAGGGGTTTAGGGTTTTAGGGGTTCAGTGGTTAGAGGTTTAGGGTTTTAGGAGTTTAGGACGGATATTTTTTGCGTCCCAACTTGTCGGCTCCTCATGCCTCTTTTGCCTGACTTTGCGAAACAATTCAGGCCAACGCCCAGTGCGAGCCATCTCCGAGATTTTCTGCAAATTCCATCCTGGACCCCAAAAGTAGGTAAAATAATAGCCCAAATCCACCAAAGTAGGTCAAAAGGCTGTTTTGTTTCATACCTTTGGTGTTGAGGATGTTACTTACCAAGGTGATAGAGTTCCGTAGCACTGTACTCATTGGGCCTCTTTGTCTCCAAATGGGGGTTTTGCAAAATTAGCGCTACGTTTTGGCCTTTACAGGGTCTCTTTGATGAGGATTCTAGTTATATTGGGGTCACCCTATTTTGGGAAACCACCAAACTTTCTTAGCTGTCATAGGAGTCCTCCAGAGCCGACCTAAGAAGCAAATCGAGTTCGCTCCCCAGGGTTTAGGGTTTAGGTTCCAAGGGCTCTTCTGCGGAGAATTTCTCCGAAAGTGCAGCATACAGTCCCAGACGTTCTTCGGGCTAGGCGCTACCCAGTTGCAGTGGTAAATCGGGAACGTATAGGGCTCCTAACAAAAATTGCTATGTTCCGTACTGGTTCCGACACAGGTTGGCAGGTGGGCCCCTAACTTAGGGTATTCTTGTGAATACCTGTGCAGACAGCGTTGTGCTGTTTCCGTAGATGTCCGTTGCTGCTGAAGCGGGCTCCCCTTAGAAGGAGAGTTCCGGACTCAACAGCTGCCCTCGTCTGCGGAAAGAAAACGCCTTACAGAGCTTCATTGATCCTCTCGGCTGCTCGTTTTCAAGACGCCATTGTGCTAAAGCACAGAAAGACCTAGAAAAACTGAATTCGATGCCTGAGACCTATCTTCAGTGCTATGGGTCCAGAATTGTGCATTGGAGCCACGTCTTCCTACATGAGCAATGAATAGGGTTGGTTTGTTCGAGTGATGTTCTACATCTATCCGTTTTCCGTGTTACACGTGCACTCGACCTCTCCTGCAGACGACATCACCAGGAACCAGGCTGCGAGCAGTTCCTGCAGTCTTGTGAGTATGCTTGGAAGCATTCTGCGAGGCAATTTCCAGCGACATCACCCGACCTCACCTTAAATGGTGGTGTATCTGGGGAACGGTATTGGGAATTTAATCTATTCCAAATTACCTTGCGTTCTGGTGTGTAGAGGCATGGCGACATGGGTCATGGGACTACTTGTTGAAGGGGACTCCTAAACCCTACAAGCCCTAGACCCTGCATAGGGACGACATTGGGATACACACCTCTTCCCTGCTTAGCCCTAAGGGTCCAAGGCCCCAAATAATCGGGCTTTAGGGCCCGCATACTACATAATGTTGATGGAATTGTGTTTCCTATTATTTGGGTCCTTGAACCCTTAGGGTAGGCATAAACCCTGAACCCTAAACCTTGAGCAC